CAACACCCTAGCAGTTACTTCCTTTTACAACAGCATCTATAAAAAAATTAACAACCATGGGGTGACATATACATCCCTGTCTAAGACCTACTTTTACTGGTAAGTAATCTTCCTCTCTCCTACACACCCTAACCTAGCCTCACTATCCTCATAAAAACTCTTTGCAGCACTAGTAATATTACTACCTATACCATACACTTGCAACATCTACCACATTGCTTTCCCTAATCCACCATAACTGAGGCATCACACACACGTGTTAGCAGACTCCTGGCATTATTTGTTAAATACAACCACATGATAAATATACTACACACTCCTACTAATATATATAAAATATATACACACACCACACACCTGAGTTTTCTTCTATTTTTTGTTGTAAGGTTTTGTTACTATTTTATTTCTCTTTACATCTCCATGTGGAAATGAGAAGAATCTTCCTCCATAAGCCATGCATGTCCCAATAAGAGGCGACAACATGCTGGGAGCAAGGAGTTTAGTAACCCCTTCTCCTGTATAAAAATACTAAGTGTCAAAAAAAAAACTGAAAAATGCAATTATTGCCAATGCAATTTAAAGCATAAACTATTGGTGATGGTGACCAAACTCTCTTTACTTCCGCATTCCCCAAACACTGTGAAAATCCTAGATGGGCATAGTTTATTGCCCATTAACCTAATAAAAGTATAACTATTTTTAATGCACAAGCCATCTTTCATCAAGTTGGATGACCCAAAAAAGAGGAAACACATTCACCATTGTTTAGTCACTGTCTTGCCAGAAATGTGTTTACATCATAATTCAGACGACCCTCTGATATGAAACATCCTCACTGCATCATCAAGGAACTTAAACTTCCTACCTCAAGAACTGTAACATCCCAGTGGGGACGTGTATCTTTAGCTCTGTGAAGACTGTATTGGTGCTCTTGATTGTTGACCTGTACTTAACTCTGTGAAGAAGTGTCTTGTTTGCTTCCGTGGACTGAACCAAGATGCCCTCCATCGAGCAACTTTACCAGCAACTTAAGGAAGAATTGAGGGCAGGAAGATTTGGAATATACGGCGATGACCGAGAAAACAAGAGGATTCGAGTAGTCCACCTGTTTTCTAGTCCTCAGGTCAAGAAGGATGAGGTCCGTGTGGTCTGGGACAGCAGGGACGACCGAAGTTGACGATCAAGAAGACGAATGAAAGCCAGAAACGATGAAGAGAAAGAGACTGCTGTGGAAAACATCCCGTGGAAACCTCCAAACGCATTCTCGTGCTACCCGACGAAAGTGCGTCTACTACTGGTATCTGTCACGACGAAGAACAACAAGGAATGAAGAATATTGTTTTTTGTTGGGGATAGCCAGGTTAGATAACATGGAAGGCATTCGCTTTGAAGGACAGGATAGAGACAAAAGGGTAAATGCTTCCTCCTGGGGCTGGGATGGAGACATTTAGGCCGCTTGACAACATCAGAACGGTAATGGGATCAATCCTATTATTTGCCTCAGTGCTGGAGCAATGATGTAGCCACGCGTAGAAGGTGAGGATTTAGTTAGAAAGTTCAGGACAGCTATAGACAAGATTAAGGAAAAAGGGGGGGCGCCCCCTGTTATAATGTGGCATTTTGCCAAGGAAGAGGTGTTGGTAATGATGGTTGTCCAGAGCAATTGGTAGTAATTGTTGGAGCTGGATAAACACTGTAGGATAATGCGTACCATTCATGACAACTGGGACAACTTCTATGGCCGAAATGACATGTATGCCAGGGATGGGGGTTTCACTTATCCCCAGGCAGGTGTGGGTTTTCCTTGCTAACTCAGTTGAGGGGGTTGTTAGGACTTAAACTAGATTAGTTTAGAGTATGGGTTTTAGAAATGATTAATATGATATGGATATATTGACTTATGCCTCTGATATTAAGAATCTTAATATTAACTGTCATGTTTAGTAACTCTGGGTAATGAAAATTTCAGAAATTGTGTTAAAAACAAAGATGAATAGGAAAATGTTGCAGAAGAAAAAACATATGATGGATTTAAGCTAACATCGAAGTGCAGAAATAAAATTAATGAACCTAAACGTTTGGTAGCATGTGCGGGGAACTTGATAATCATTGCATTAACTGAAACGGGTATGATTTAAAGAGTAGGATATGACTGCTGAGTGAATATATCAGATTAAAGTTATTCAATGTGGATAGATGTAATGGAAGGGGGGAGGAGTTGCATTGTATGTTCGAGACAATATTAATTGTTGCATAAAAACAGGTATAAAAATAGATGGAGCAGTAACAGGTCTGTTTGGGTAGAGTTCGTGGAGGGTCAAGAAAAACAATTCTAGTGTAATATACCGACCTCCCCTTGATCACGATAGAGGAGACATTCTTTGGACGAAATTGTTAGGGCTTCCTGGACACATGTAAACGTATCATAGTAGGGGACTTTAACTTAGCCAAATACTGGAAAATTTTTGACAGTAATCTAGAGTCCAGTGACTTCATGGAAACAGTTCAGGACTGTTTTCTGAACAGAGTGTAACTGAACCTACCAGGTTAATAATTTGCTAGACACTAGTCTTGTCAATAATGAAACACTCGTGATAATCTGAATCACTGAAAGAGCTATGGCTCAAGTGATCACAAATCCATCACCTTTACATTAATTTGGAATGCAAGAATAAGATAATACAGTAAAAATCCCGCGATTATCGTTCTGGCCGATTATAATGGACTAGGAACAATCTGTCAAATCGTGATTGGGGTTATCTACTAAGATTTTATGACGATAATCATACTTATGAATATGAAGGATCTGCTTTTATTGTTTGTTTTCTTAAATATGTACACAGTGCCCAGAGTATATACAATTCCCCAGAGAGAAATTAGGTCTAATAAAACGATCCCAAATGGGTTTACAGGAGCTAAAGCATCTATTAGGGGAGAAAAGGGGAATTTTTTAGGCGCATGCAAGAAGAGGAGAGGTTAACCTTACTGACCAATAAGTTCCACTTAAATGAGAAGTTAAAAAAAAGGCGATTAGAAAGGCAAACGTGACTAAGAAATTAGTGTCGCTAATGAATCAAAAAGACAATAATCCAAAGGGGTTCTTCAGTGTATAGGACGAAGGTGAAGGAAAAAGTAGGACCTCTGAAATCTGGGAATGGACAGCTGACGATAATGAACTGAAGTTGTTCCTTATTTAAAGACTAATTTTTTGTCAATAGTTTTTATACACAGGAATATGTAAAAATGAGATTCCAGGAGTCAATTAACAATTATTTAGTTCCTGATGAATTTAAGTTAAATAATATTACTGTCACGAGGACATGGTTATTAAACAGAATAGACAAACTGAAACAAAATAAGTCCCCGGGACCCGGATGAGTTGTTTTCAAGGGTACTTAAGAATGCAAGATGGAAGCTTAGTCAGCCATTAACGAGAGTATTCAATGCGTCCCATCCTTACCAGTGTTGTGCCAAGATGTGAAGAATGGCTAATGTGGTCCTATATTCATATCAGGGATACGTCCCACTCCTTCAAATTACCGTCCAATAGCCTGACATCTATATGGGCAATTTATTAGAATCAATAAAGCTGACATTATCAGAAGTCACCTTGAAGAGCATAACTTGATAAATGAATCTCAGCATGGATTTTCACGAGAGGTCGTTCCTCCTGCCTGAACAAACATACTGACGTTCTTTCATAGAACATTTGAGGCAGTAATTTTTGACAGTGATAAGGAATATAGATATTGTTTATTTGGATTTTTAGTAAGCCTTCGACAGAGTACCTCACAAGAGCTCTTAAGAAAAGTGGCGCTCATGGTATAGGAGGTTAAAGTTCTAGCAGGATAGAGGCATGGCTTACCAATAGAAATCAGAGAGTTACCAATGATGGAGTGAATCTGAATGGGATTATCACGAGTGGCGTCTCACAAGGATCAGTTTTAGGCCCTACTCTTGTTACATAATTTACATTAATGACCTTGGATGTAAGGGATTACTAAGAGACATGAGTAAGTTTTGCTGAGATACAAAGATAGGCCCGAAAAAAAAAAACTATAATTCACACTGAGGAGATATCAATGAACTCCAGACGATTTGAACAAATTAATGTCTTGGTCTGAGAAATGGCAGATGCAGTATATGTGGATAATGTAAGGTACTTGCCGTGGTAATGAAAATAACCCTCGAAGCTATAAACTAGAGAAGTAGAGCTTGGTCATACAGAATGTGAAAAAGACTTGGGAGTCATGGTAAGCAGAAATCTAAAGCCAAGACAGCAGTGCCACAGTGTCGCAACAGGCCAACAGATTACTTGATTTATCTCAAGAAGTATAAGTAACAGAATTCCAAAAGTTTTATTTTACAGCTCTATACATCACTAGTGAGGCCTCATTTAGATTATGCTGCTCAGTTTTGGTCCCTTACTACAGAGATGGACATAGACTCATCAGAAACAACAGAGAAGAATGATTAAAATGATTTACTGTGTAAGGAACCTCCCGTATGAAGATAGACTTAAAGCCTTAAATCTCTACTCTCTGGAGAGGCGTAGAATGAGGGGAGATATCATTGAAGTGTATAAGTGGATGATGGGCATAAACAAGGGAGACATATAAAGTACTGAGGGTGTCGAACCAGGTAAGAACCAGGAATAATGGATTTAATTTGGGATAAATTTAGATTTAGAAAGGACATAGGTAAGTACTGGTTTTCTAACAGAGTTGTAGATGCGTGGAACAGTCTTCCCAGTGGGATGATAGAGGTTAGGACCTTGGGTAGTTTTAAGAAGAGACTGGACAAATATATGAGTGGGAGGGGCTGGGTTTGATTGGTGTCAAGGGGTACGGGAGTTATTTCTTGAGTAGCTTTAGGTAGATGTCGTTTTGATAAGGACCTGCCTCGTATGGGCCAGTAGGCCTTCTGCAGTGTTCCTACATTCTTATGTTCTTATGTTCTTATCCCTCTCCCATTCTTCAGAGTGCAGGCACTGTACTTCCCACCTCCAGAAATATAACATTCTCACCCATCCTTCAGAGTGCAGGCACTGTACTTCCCAGCTCCAGAACTGTAACATCCTCACCCATCCTTCAGAGTGGAGGCACCGTACTTCCCACCTCCTGAACTGTAACATCCTCACCCATCCTTCAGAGTGGAGGCACCATACTTCCCACCTCCAGAACTGTAACATCCTTATTCATCCTTCAGAGTGCAGGCACTGTACTTCCCACCTCCAGAACTATACTGAACCAGTCTTCCAGAATCCTTTCAAAAATGTTACTTCACTCACATGCCATCACTGACCTATGTTAAAGTGGGAAACCCACACCAAAGCCTGAGCTGTAGCCACGAAGGTCTTGGGAGCCAGCTTGTAAGCCAGTGTAGCAGCCGACACATTCATCAGGTTGAGTGTAAACAGTTCCAGTGACTCCAGCAGCAATGCCCACCATGGGTTGATGATGTATGATAACCCTGGAAAAGATAGTTATATAGAAGTTTACTGCAATTTATGATAACCCCAGAAAAGATAACATTTTTAGAGAGGTATATTTTAATTGTGGTGTTGGCATGCCTCTGGCAAGACAGTGATGGAGTGAATGATAATGAAAGTGTTTCTTCTTTTTCAGGTCACCCTACCTTGGTGGGAGATGGCCAATGTGTTATTAAAAAAAAAAATTATGCAAATCATTGATGAATGTAATTAGAGTAATTAATAGGTTTATAATTTTAATTGGGCTCCACAAAAAGCATTATGTGAAAACATAACGCGAGAAAGAGAATCATCATCTCCACTTCCTTGGATCAAATCTGATTACTACTTCGTACCCAGGTGATGCAGGACCTGCACTGGTTCAGCAGGCCCGGGTTCGATTCCTGGCGGGGTGGAAAAATTTTGACACGTTTCCTTACACCTGTTATCCGTTGTCCTGTTCACCTTGCAGCAAATAGGTACCTGGGTGTTAATTGACAGGTATGGGTCGCATCCTGGGGGACAAGATTAAGGACCTCAATAGAAATAAGACAGACAGTCCTCGATGACACACTGCCTTTCTTGGGTTATCCTGGGTGGCTAACCCTCCGGGGTTAAAAATCTAAATAAAATATTATCTAGACATGTTAATGATCAAAGTGATCAAACATGATATAGAAGTAGAGTACTCTGAGGGCTCCTCTTGGCTAATAAAAGCACATCCTCCATTGTACTACGTCGTAAAGTATTAAATACGGTGGACCCCCGCTTTACGATCAGCTCCCAATGCGACCAATTATGTAAGTTTATTTATGTAAGTGTGTTTGCTATGTTTGGGGGTCTGAAATGGACTAATCTAATTCACAATATTTCTTATGGGAACAAATTTGTTCAGTAATGGCACCTGAACATACTTCTGGAATGAAATAATATCGTAAGCCGGGGGTCCACTGTATTTGTATTTTACCACTCTTCACCTGTCTAGACTTAGGTAGTCTATAAGTACAGTATTAGGTTAAGTCTGCCCGAAATGCCTCGGCATGATAGTGGCTTTCTTTGTACCAATCAAATTATGAAATGTAAACACACACTGTAACCTTAGCAAAGAAATATAATTTTATTTTATTTTTTATTTTATGCTGACATGACACTGAAAATACAGTTCTCATAAAACTACAAAAAATAGCACAATTTTTTTTGAAATCTGACTGAAAAAGTTCTCCATGGGGAAGTGGAACAGAATTCTTCCTCTGTAAGTCATGTGTGTCTTAAAAGGCGACTAAAATGCTGGGAGCAAGGGGCTAGTAACCCCTTCTCCTGTATACATTACTATAGTTAACCCGTAAATGGTCCAAACGTATATATACGTTTTTTCAACATTTGAAAGTATGTAAAAAAGTAGATCTTTTTGTATTTGTACATTTGAAAATGTGTAAAAAAAAAAAAAAAAAAAAAAAAAAACTTTGATCTACTTTTTTTTTTTTTTATATTTGAAAATATGTAAAAAAAAAAAAAAAAAGTAGATCTACTTTTGTAGCACTACACATGTGAACGTAGATCTGCTTGGACCGTTTACGGGTTAAAAAGAGAAACTTTTGTTTTTTTTATTGGGCCACCCCGCCTCGGTGGGATATGGCCGATCTGTTGAAAGAAGAAAAAAGACTGAAAAAGTACATCTGAATTAATCTTTTTATAAATGTGACTGAAAAAAGTACAACTGAAACTCATTTTTTGTTAAGACTGAAAAAAGCATAACTAAAATTTATAGTACCTGGATAAGCCTTCACAGTACATGATATGCAGTTGCCAAATGCACTCTGATTCACATTTATGAATAACTGCACTATATAGAGGAGCTGTATAGGAGATGACTAAGTGCATTATTCAATCAGATTAAATTCTTCTATATAAAACAAGTTCATATCAAAATACACACATACAGTTGATGAATTTGGGTATCTATATTGTGGATATGTTTTGTCAACCAGTGACTTCGTCAGTCCAGTACAGAGAAGAATGGTTGAAGAACGGGAGTTTGAGATAATCAGTCCCTCAGCCTAGAGTCAATGTGCACTTTTTTCAAGACTGAATGACTGAACACACTGACTCCAGGCTGAGGGACTGATTTCCTCAAACCTATTCTGATATTCAACCAGTCTTCTCTGTACTGGACTGAGGAAGCCACTGGTTGGCAAAACACTTCCATAATAAAAATATCCAAGTATTGCACGTGTCTAATTCACCAACCCGTCAGTTCTCTAAACCAGTTATCTACGCATACAGTAAACCTTAATGTCAATCTGTCTAAGACTTACCAGCAAACCTAACGCAGTAACCAAGGAAGGCGAGCATAATGAGGTAGTGATGTCCACAGTACTGCACGACGGCAGCGCTCTTGTACAAGAAAGGCAGTGATGGAACAATACCGAAGGAGAGAGTAAGACCCAGCAGCAACTTGGATGCATGTAGGTCTTCCAGGTAGACATAAACAAAAGTCTTGAGGTAACCCCAGAAAGTACCCAGTAGCGTCATCAGGAAGAGAAGAATACTCAGCTCTGTGGTGTGGATCAGTTGCCTTATATTTTTCAACTGAAACAGGTAAATCGAAGAGGGTAAGATATTGTGTAAAATACTGACAAATAAGATATATGCACAGTATTAGGCTATTTTACTGCCCCTACTATAAAATAATATTTGCTGTTGAAGGGTACTTGATCTAAAAATTCTGGATTACAATATAAACTATTCCCAGGTGCTGTGTGACCCTCGAGTTTAGCACTTCCCAATGAACATACATACTTTAATGTACAGCAATCATTTTCAATATATAAAACACAAAAACATATCCAATTCCTTGGATCCAGAGACCTTCACTGGCATCAAGGCCTGAAATCCACCTAATGCTAATGGCTTTCTTTTGTGCCTAATAATATTTAATTGCACTTAAACTATTTTACCTCTATACTGCAAAAAAGAAATGGAGTTCTATTATTATGATGTTATTAATTATAAAAAGAATACAATACCAGGCATAGTACTGTTCTTCACTTATACCCACAAACAGACTTATACCCACAAACATATTCACTTACAGAATTATTATAGGAGTTTTAGTATTTTTTTTTATTAACACATCGACCGTTTCCCACCAAGGCAGGGTGACTCAAAAAAAAAAAAACACTTTCTTCATTACTCACTCCATCACTGTCTTTCTAGTGGCTTGTTGACTAGTTCAAAACTGCAATATTAACACCCCTCCTTCAGAGTGCAGGCACTGTACTTCCCACCTCCAGGACCAGAGTCCAGCTAACCGGTTTCCTCGAATCCCTTAATAATTGTTACTTTGATCACTCCAACAGCCAGTCAAATTTTAGTATTCTTCTTTCTTCTTTCAACAAACCAGCTGTATCCCACTGAGGAAGGGTGGCCCAAAAAGAAAAACAAAAGGGGATACTAGCCCCTTGCTCCCAGCATTTTGGTCGCCTCTTACGACACGCATGGCTTATGGGGAAGAAATTCTGTTCCACTTCCCCATGGAGAAGTTTTAATATTCTTCTTTCTTCTTTCAACAAACCGGCCGTATCCCACCGAGGCAGGGTGGCCCAAAAAGAAAAACAAAAGTTTCTCTTTTCAAATTTAGTAATTTATACAGGAGAAAGGGTTACTAGCCCCTTGCTCCCAGCATTTTGGTCGCCTCTTACGACACACATGGCTTACGGGGAAGAAATTCTGTTCACTTCCCCATGGAGAAGTTTTAGTATTTTTTTTTTTCAACAAGTCGGCCGTCTCCCACCGAGGCAGGGTGACCCAAAAAAGAAAGAAAATCCCCAAAAAGAAAATACTTTCATCATCATTCAACACTTTCACCACACTCACACATTATCACTGCTTTTGCAGAGGTGCTCAGAATACAACAGTTTAGAAGCATATACGTATAAAGATACACAACATATCCCTCCAAACTGCCAATATCCCAAACCCCTCCTTTAAAGTGCAGGCATCGTACTTCCCATTTCCAGGACTCAAGTCCGACTATATGAAAATAACCGGTTTCCCTGAATCCCTTCACTAAATATTACCCTGCTCACACTCCAACAGATCGTCAGGTCCCAAGTATCATTCGTCTCCATTCACTCCTATCTAACACGCTCATGCATGCTTGCTGGAAGTCCAAGCCCCTCGCCCACAAAACCTTCTTTACCCCCTCTTTCCAACCCTTTCAAGGATGACCCCTACCCCTCCTTCCTTCCCCTATAGATTTATATGCTTTCCATGTCATTCTACTTTGATCCATTCTCTCTAAATGACCAAACCACCTCAACAACCCCTCTTCTGCCCTCTGACTAATGCTTTTATTAACTCCACACCTTCTCCTAATTTCCACACTCCGAATTTTCTGCATAATATTTACACCACACATTGCCCTTAGACAGGACATCTCCACTGCCTCCAACCCTCTCCTCGCTGCTGCATTTACCACCCAAGCTTCACATCCATATAAGAGTGTTGGTACTACCATACTTTCATACATTCCCTTCTTTGCCTCCATAGATAACGTTTTTTGACTCCACATATACCTCAACGCACCACTCACCTTTTTCCCTCATCAATTCTATGATTAACCTCATCCTTCATAAATCCATCTGCCGACACGTCAACTCCCAAGTATCTGAAAACATTCACTTCTTCCATACTCCCCCTCCCCAATTTGATATCCAATTTTTCTTTATCTAAATCATTTGATACCCTCTTCACCTTACTCTTTTCTATGTTCACTTTCAACTTTCTACCTTTACACACATTCTCAAACTCATCCACTAACCTTTGCAATTTTTCTTTAGAATCTCCCATAAGCACAGTATCATCAGCAAAAAGTAACTGTGTCAATTCCCATTTTGAATTTGATTCCCCATAATTTAATCCCACCCCTCTCCCGAACACCCTAGCATTTACTTCTTTTACGACCCCATCTATAAATATATTAAACAACCATGGTGACATTACACATCCCTGTCTAAGACCTACTTTTACCGGGAAGTATTCTCCCTCTCTTCTACACACCCTAACCTGAGCCTCACTATCCTCATAAAAGCTCTTTACAGCATTTAGTAACTTACCACCTATTCCATAAACTTGCAACATCTGCCACATTGCTCCTCTATCCACTCTAACATATGCCTTTTCTAAATCCATAAATGCAATAAAAACTTCCCTACGTTTATCTAAATACTGTTCACATATATGCTTCAATGTAAATACTTGATCTACACATCCCCTACCCACTCTGAAACCTCCCTGCTCATCCGCAATTCTACATTCTGTCTTACCTCTAATTCTTTCAATTATAACCCTACCGTATACTTTTCCTGGTATACTCAGTAAACTTTTTTTTTTTTTTTTTTATCACACCGGCCGATTCCCACCAAGGCAGGGTGGCCCGAAAAAGAAAAACTTTCACCATCATTCACTCCATCACTGTCTTGCCAGAAGGGTGCTTTACACTACAGTTTTTAAACTGCAACATTAACACCCCTCCTTCAGAGTGCAGGCACTGTACTTCCCATCTCCAGGACTCAAGTCCGGCCTGCCGGTTTCCCTGAATCCCTTCATAAAGTTACTTTGCTCACACTCCAACAGCACGTCAAGTATTAAAAACCATTTGTCTCCATTCACTCCTATCAAACACGCTCAAGCATGCCTGCTGGAAGTCCAAGCCCTCGCACACAAAACCTCCTTTACCCCTCCTCCAACCCTTCCTAGGCCGCCCCTACCCCGCCTTCCTTCCACTACAGACTGATACACTCTTGAAGTCATTCTGTTTCGCTCCATTCTCTCTACATGTCCGAACCACCTCAAAAACCCCTTTCCTCAGCCCTCTGGACAACAGTTTTGGTAATCCCGCACCTCCTCCTAATTTTCCCAAACTACGAATTCTCTGCATTATAATTCACCCCACACATTGCCCTCAGACATGACATCTCCACTGCCTCCAGCCTTCTCCTCGCTGCAACATTCATAAACCACGCTTCACACCCATATAAGAGCGTTGGTTAAAACTATACTCTCTTACATTCCCTCTTTGCCCCCAAAGGGACAAAGTTCTTTGTCTCCACAGACTCCTAAGTGCACCACTCATCTTTTTCCCTCATCAATTCTATGATTCACCTCATCTTTCATAGACCCAACCCGCTGACACGTCCACTCCCAAATATCTGGAATACGTTCAACCTCCTCCATACTCTCTCCCTCCATCTGATATTCAATCTTTCATCACCTAATCTTTTTGTTATCCTCATAACCTTACTCTTTCCTGTATTCACCTTTAATTTTCTTCTTTTGCACACCCTACCAAATTCATCCACCAATCTCTGCAACTTCTCTTCAGAATCTCCCAAGAGCACAGTGTCATCAGCAAAGAGCAGCTGTGACAACTCCCAACTTTGTGTGTTGATTCTTTATCTTTTAACTCCACGCCTCTTGCCAAGACCCTCGCATTTACTTCTCTTACAACCCCATCTATAAATATATTAAACAACCACGGTGACATCACACCAGTAAACTTATTCCTCTATAATTTTTACAATCTCTTTTGTCCCCTTTCCCTTTATATAAAGGGACTATACATGCTCTCTGCCAATCCCTAGGTACCTTCCCCTCTTTCATACATTTATTAAACAAAAGTACCAACCACTCCAACACTATATCCCCCCCTGCTTTTAACATTTCTGTCATGATCCCATCAGTTCCAGCTGCTTTACCCCCTTTCATTCTACGTAGTGCCTCACGTACCTCCCCCACACTTACATTCTGCTCTTCTTCACTCCAAAAGATGGTTACCTCCCTGACCAGTGAAAGAAATTTACCGCCTCCCTTTCTTCCTCAACATTTAAAAGTTCCTCAAAAATTCTCGCCATCTACCTAATTACCTCCCTCTCCCCATCTACTACTCCCCTACTCCGTTTTTAATTAACAAATCCTACTTTCCCTAGGCTTTCTTAACTTGTTTAACTCACTCCAAATTTTTTTTTTATTTTCATTAAAATTCTTGACAGTGCCTCTCCCACTCTATCTTCTGCTCTCCTTTTGCACTCTCTCACCACTCTCTTCACCTTTCTTTTACTCTCCAAATACTCTGCTCTTCTTATAAAATACACTTCTGCTTTGTAAAAAACCTTCATAAGCTACCTTTTTCTCTTTTATCACACCCTTTACTTCATCATTCCACCAATCACTCCTCTTTCCTCCTGCCCCCACCCTCCTATAACCACAAACTTCTGCCCCACATTCTAATACTGCATTTTTAAAACTATTCCAACCCTCTTCAACCCCCCCACTACTCATCTTTGCACTAGCCCACCTTTCTGCCATAGTCGCTTATATCTCACCCGAACTTCCTCCTCCCTTAGTTTATACACTTTCACCTCCCTCTTACTTGTATTATTTACAGTAATTAACCAATGCTATATGACCCACACAGGTTTTGTGCTTTCATGTGAGCACAGTAAACCCTCAAAGCAACACACTAATAGAGAATTGTCCAATTGTCTGTTAAGGCAGGATAATGTTACACAAATAACCAGCACATCACAGGAAGAGTGATGGGTGAGATGTTATCAACAAATTTTGTTGAAAATAAGAAAAAGTTTTGGAGTGAGATTAACAAGTTAAGAAAGCCTAGAGAACAAATGGATTTGTCAGTTAAAAATAGGAGAGGAGAGTTATTAAATGGAGAGTTAGAGGTATTGGGAAGTGGAAGGAATATTTTTAGGAATTGTTTAAAAAGTTTTATGAAGATTAGGGAAGCTGTGATTTCGTGTATAGGGCAAGGAGGAATAACATCTTGTAGGAGTGAGGAAGAGCCCGTTGTGAGTGTGGGGGAAAATTCGTGAGGCAGTAGGTAAAATGAAAGGGGTAAGGCAGCCGGGGTTGATGGGATAAAGATAGAAATGTAAAAGCAGGTGGGGATATAGTTTTGGAGTGGTTGGTGCAATTATTTAATAAATGTATGGAAGAGGGGAAGGTACCTAGGATTGGCAGAGAGCATGCATAGTTCCTTTGTATAAAGGCAAAGGGGTAAAAGAGAGTGCAAAAAATTATAGGGGGATAAGTCTGTTGAGTGTACCTGGTTTAAAATGTATGGTAGAGTTATAATTGAAAGAATTAAGAGTAAGACGGAGAAAAAGGATTGCAGATGAAAAAAGGAGGCCCTTTTGGAAAGGTAGGGGGTGTGTGGACCAGGTGTTTACAGTGAAACATATAAGTGAACAGTATTTAGATAAGGCTAAAGAGGTCTTTGTGGCATTTATGGATTTGGAAAAGGGTATGACAGGGTGGATAGGGGGGGCAAAAGTGGCAGATGTTGCAAGTGTATGGTGTAGGAGGTAGGTTACTGAAAGCAGTGAAGAGTTTTTTTACGAGGATAGTGAGGCTCAAGTTAGAGTATGTAGGAAAGAGGGAAATTTTTTCCCAGTAAAAGTAGGCCTTAGACAAGGATGTGTGATGTCACCGTGGTTGTTTAATATATTTATAGATGGGGTGTAAGAGAAGTAAATGCGAGGGTTTTGGCAAGAGGCGTGGAGTTAAAAGATAAAGAATACACACAAAGTGGGAGTTGTCACAGCTGCTCTTTGCTGATGACACTGTGCTCTTGGGAGATTCTGAAGAGAAGTTGCAGAGATTGGTGGATGAATTTGGTAGGGTGTGCAAAAGAAGAAAATTAAAGGTGAATACAGGAAAAGAGTAAGGTTATGAGGATAACAAAAAGATTAGGTGATGAAAGATTGAATATTCAGATTGGGAGGGAGAGAGTATGGAGGAGGTGAACGTATTCAGATATTTGGGAGTGGACGTGTCAGCGGAGGGGGTCTATGAAAGATGAGGTGAATCATAGAATTGATGAGGGAAAAAGAGTGAGTGGTGCACTTAGGAGTCTGTGGAAACAAAGAACTTTGTCCTTGGAGGCAAAGAGGGGAATGTATGAGAGTATAGTTTTACCAACGCTCTTATATGGGTGTGAAGCGTGGGTGATGAATGTTGCAGCGAGGAGAAGGCTGGAGGCAGTGGAGATGTCATGTCTGAGGGCAATGTGTGGTGTGAATATAATGCAGAGAATTCGTAGTTTGGAAGTTAGGAGGAGGTGCGGGATTACCAAAACTGTTGTCAGAGGGCTGAGGAAGGGTTGTTGAGGTGGTTCGGACATGTAGAGAGAATGGAGCGAAACAGAATGACTTCAAGAGTGTATCAGTCTGTAGTGGAAGGAAGGCGGGGTTAGGGGTCGGCCTAGGAAGGGTTGGAGGGGGGGGTATTTAAAGGAGGTTTTTGTGTGCGAGGGGCTTGGACTTCCAGCAGCATGCGTGAGCGTGTTTGATAGGAGTGAATGGAGACAAATGGTTTTTAATACTTGACGTGCTGTTGGAGTGTGAGCAAAGTAACATTTATGAAGGGATTCAGGGAAACCGGCAGGCCGGACTTGAGTCCTGGAGATGGGAAGTACAGTGCCTGCACTCTGAAGGAGGGGTGTTAATGTTGCAGTTTAAAAACTGTAGTGTAAAGCACCCTTCTGGCAAGACAGTGATGGAGTGAATGATGGTGAAAGTTTTTCTTTTTCGGGCCACCCTGCCTTGGTGGGAATCGGCCGGTGTGATAATAAAAAAAAAAAAAATAATAAAAATCACAGGAAGAAACTTATGATGATGTGTGTATAGTTAATGGTCCAAGTTCGAGCAAAATATCGTCATAACTTTCATTCTCTTATGTGCAGGTTATTTGTGTATTGTTTAGGGTAATGTTAAAAAATTACAGAAAAAAAGCAGACAGTCTAGTGTATGCCTAATACAGGCATACTAGGCTAATACAGTGGGATAGGTTTTAGACTGCTACTGTAAAGTTAATATTGCCTTAAAGAGAATCACAGCCTTTTTCCATTTGCCAGAGCATATAAAAGCCTAAAAACATGTTTACACTATCGCTTATTAAATGTGCAATAGTGCTAGGCCTAAAAAACGATGCATAAATGCCATAAACAGACTGAGCACAGGTAACAAAATGCCGACAGTCAGCAAATGTGCCCGTCACCGCCAAAAATAATAAATGTGATAATTGTAAAGCACTGTATTAGCAAATAGCTCTAGAGCAGAGAGCCGTATTAGCAAGGTTTGAATATTCTACAATAAGCACTGAAAATAAAGGAGTTGAAAGTACAATTCACTTAGCATACTTTTGTCCGTTCATTATAGTGAGGTCAATTATACCAAGGGTTTAATGTATAATAAAAATAATTATGTATATTATGTATATAAACATACAAATTTCTTACCAAACTTCTTCTCTGAACTTGTACTTCAATAGGAAGTACAATAGTTACAGCCATTGTCGTCAACATCAGACCATTGAAGACATAGAACACCGGAGCGTAACTGTAGCTTCCGAAAGTTCCAAATTTTGTGTCAATGAGGAAACCAGAAATTGGTGAAAAAACTCCTGAAAAAGAAAGTAAAAAGTTACAATAGCTTCTTAGTTATGATTATAATAACAACAATAAAGCGCTAAACCCACAAGGGTCATACAGCGCTGCAGTTTCTCATATGATAGTGGTAGATGGTGTATTAAATTTCATCTCAAAGAACAAAAAAGTACAATGCAGTGACTGGAAAAATACACAAATAACTTGTACTGAAGGATGTGCGAGGATGTTACAGTTCTGGAGGTGGGAAGTACATACCTGCACTCTGAAGGATGTGCAAGGATGTTACAGTTCTGGAGGTGGGAAGTACAGTACCTGCACTCTGAAGGATGTGCGAGGATGTTACAGTTCTGGAGGTGGAAAGTACAGTACCTGCACTCTGAAGGATGTGCGAGGATGTTTACAGTTCTGGAGGTGGGAAGTACAGTACCTGCACTCTGAAGGATGTGCGAGGATGTTACAGTTCTGGAGGTGGAAAGTACAGTACCTGCACTCTGAAGGATGTGCGAGGATGTTACAGTTCTGGAGGTGGGAAGTACAGTACCTGCACTCTGAAGGATGTGCGAGGATGTTACAGTTCTGGAGGTGGGAAGTACAGTACCTGCAATCTGAAGGATGTTACAGTTCTGGAGGTGGGAAGTACAGTACCTGCACTCTGAAGGATGGGTGAGGATGTTACAGTCCTGGAGGTGGGAAGTACAGTACCTGCACTCTGAAGGATGTGCGAGGATGTTACAGTTCTGGAGGTGGGAAGTACAGTACCTGCACTCTGAAGGATGGGTGAGGATGTTACAGTCCTGGAGGTGGGAAGACAGTACCTGCACTCTGAAGGATGAGTGAGGATGTTACAGTCCTGGAGGTGGGAAGTACAGTACCTGCACTCTGAAGGATGAGTGAGGATGTTACACTTCTGGAGCTGGGAAGACAGTACCTGCACTCTGAAGGATGGGTGAGGATGTTACAGTTCTGGAGGTGGAAAGTACAGTACCTGCACTCTGAAGGATAAGTGAGGATGTTACAGTTCTGGAGGTATGAACTAGAGTACCTGCACTCTGAAGGATGAGTGAGGATGTTTCAGTTCTGGACGTGGGAAGTACAGTGTCTCCATTCTGAAGGATGGGTGAGGATGTTGTAGTTCTGGAGGTGGGAAGTACAGTGCCTGCACTCTGAAGGATGAGTGAGGATGTTACAGTTCTGGAGGTGGGAAGTACAGTATCTGCACTCTGAAGGATAAGTGAGGATGTTACAGTTCTGGAGGTGGGAAGTACAGTACCTGCACTCTGAAGGATGAGTGAGGATGTTACAGTTCTGGAGGTGGGAAGTACAGTACCTGCACTCTGAAGGATGAGTGAGGATGTTACAGTTCTGGATGTGGGAAGTACAGTACCTGCACTCTGAAGGATAAGTGAGGATGTTACAGTTCTGGAGGTGGGAAGTACAGTACCTGCACTCTGCAGGATGAGGGAGGATGTTACAGTTCTGCAGGTGGAAAGTACAGTACCTGCACTCTGAAGGATGAGTGAGGATGTTACAGTTCTGGAGGTGGGAAGTACAGTACCTGCACTCTGAAGGATGAGTGAGGATGTTACAGTTCTGGAGGTGGGAAGTACAGTACCTGCACTCTGAAGGATGAGTGAGGATGTTACAGTTCTGGAGGTGGGAAGTACAGTATCTGCACTCTGAAGGATAAGTGAGGATGTTACAGTTCTGGAGGTGGGAAGTACAGTACCTGCACTCTGAAGGATGAGTGAGGATGTTACAGTTCTGGAGGTGGGAAGTACAGTACCTGCACTCTGAAGGATGTGTGAGGATGTTACAGTTCTGGAGGTGGGAAGTACAGTACCTGCACTCTGACGGATGAGTGAGGATATTACAGTTCTGGAGGTGGGAAGTACAGTACCTGCACTCTGAAGGGTGTGTGAGGATGTTACAGTTCTGGAGGTGGGAAGTACAGTACCTGCACTCTGAAGGATGAGTGAGGATGTTACAGTTCTGGAGGTGGGAAGTACAGTACCTGCACTCTGAAGGATGAGTGAGGATGTTACAGTTCTGGAGCTGGGAAGACAGTACCTGCACTCTGAAGGATGGGTGAGGATGTTACAGTTCTGGAGGTGGGAAGTACAGTACCTGCACTCTGAAGGATGAGTGAGGATGTTACAGTTCTGGAGCTGGGAAGACAGTACCTGCACTCTGAAGGATGGGTGAGGATGTTACAGTTCTGGAGGTGGAAAGTACAGTACCTGCACTCTGAAGGATGAGTGAGGATGTTACAGTTCTGGAGGTGGGAAGTACAGTACCTGCACTCTGAAGGATAAGTGAGGATGTTACAGTTCTGGAGGTGGGAAGTACAGTACCTGCACTCTGAAGGATGAGTGAGGATGTTACAGTTCTGGAGGTGGGAAGTACAGTACCTGCACTCTGAAGGATGAGTGAGGATGTTACAGTTCTGGAGGTGGGAAGTACAGTACCTGCACTCTGAAGGATGAGTGAGGATGTTACAGTTCTGGATGTGGGAAGTACAGTACCTGCACTCTGAAGGATAAGTGAGGATGTTACAGTTCTGGAGGTGGGAAGTACAGTAATTGCACTCTGCAGGATGAAGGAGGATGTTACAGTTCTGCAGGTGGAAAGTACAGTACCTGCACTCTGAAGGATGAGTGAGGATGTTACAGTTCTGGAGGTGGGAAGTACAGTACCTGCACTCTGAAGGATGAGTGAGGATGTTACAGTTCTGGAGGTGGGAAGTACAGTACCTGCACTCTGAAGGATGAGTGAGGATGTTACAGTTCTGGATGTGGGAAGTACAGTACCTGCACTCTGAAGGATAAGTGAAGATGTTACAGTTCTGGAGGTGGGAAGTACAGTACCTGCACTCTGCAGGATGAGGGAGGATGTTACAGTTCTGCAGGTGGGAAGTACAGTACCTGCACTCTGAAGGATGAGTGAGGATGTTACAGTTCTGGAGGTGGGAAGTACAGTACCTGCACTCTGAAGGATGAGTGAGGATGTTACAGTTCTGGAGGTCGGAAGTACAGTACCTGCACTCTGAAGGATGTGTGAGGATGTTACAGTTCTGGAGGTGGGAAGTACAGTACCTCCACTCTGAAAGATGAGTGAGGATGTTACAGTTCTGGAGGTGGGAAGTACAGTACCTGCACTCTGAAGGATGAGTGAGGATGTTACAGTTCTGGATGTGGGAAGTACAGTACCTGCACTCTGAAGGATGAGTGAGGATGTTACAGTTCTGGAGGTGGGAAGTACAGTACCTGCACTCTGAAGGATGAGTGAGGATGTTATAGTTCTGCATGTGGGAAGTACAGTACCTGCTCTCTGAAGGATGAGTGAGGATTTTACAGTTCTGGAGGTGGGAAGTACAGTACCTGCACTCTGAAGGATGAGTGAGGATGGTACAGTTCTGGAGGTGGGAAGTACAGTACCTGCACTCTGAAGGATATGTGAGGATGTTACAGTTTTGGAGGTGGGAAGTACAGTACCTGCGCTCTGAAGGATGAGTGAGGATGTTACAGTTCTGGAGGTGGGAAGTACAGTACGTGCACTCTGAAGGATGTGTGAGGATGTTACAGTTCTGGAGGTGGGAAGTACAGTACCTGCACTCTGAAGGATGAGTGAGGATGTTACAGTTCTGGAGGTGGGAAGTACAGTACCTGCACTCTGAAGGATGAGTGAGGATGTTACAGTTCTGGAGCTGGGAAGACAGTACCTGCACTCTGAAGGATGGGTGAGGATGTTACAGTTCTGGAGGTGGGAAGTACAGTACCTGCACTCTGAAGGATGAGTGAGGATGTTACAGTTCTGGATCTGGGAAGACAGTACCTGCACTCTGAAGGATGGGTGAGGATGTTACAGTTCTGGAGGTGGAAAGTACAGTACCTGCACTCTGAAGGATGGGTGAGGATGTTACAGTTCTGAAAGTGGGAAGTACAGTACCTGCACTCTGAAGGATGGGTGAGAATGTTTCAGTTCTGGACGTGGGAAGTACAATGTCTGCATTCTGAAGGATGGGTGAGGATGTTGTAGTTCTGGAGGTGGGAAGTACAGTGCCTGCACTCTGAAGGATGGGTGAGGATGTTACAGTTCTGGAGGTGGGAAGTACAGTACCTGCACACTGAAGGATAAGTGAGGATGTTACAGTCCTGGAGGTGGGAAGTACAGTGCCTGCACTCTGAAGGATGAGTGAGGATGTTACAGTTCTGGAGGTTGGAAGTACAGTACCTGCACTCTGAAGGATGAGTAAGGATGTTACAGCTCTGGAGGTTGGAAGTACAGTACCTGCAGTCTAAAGGATGGGTGAGGATGTTTCAGTTCTGGAGGTGGGAAGTACAGTGCCTGCACTCTGAAGGATGAGTGAGGATGTTACAGTTCTGGAGGTGGGAAGTACAGTACCTGCACTCTGAAGGATGAGTGAGGATGTTACAGTTCTGGAGGTGGAAAGTACAGTACCTGCACTCTGAAGGATGAGTGAGGATGTTCAGTTCTGGATGTGGGAAGTACAGTACCTGCACTCTGAAGGATGAGTGAGGATGTTACAGTTCTGGAGGTGGGAAGTACAGTACCTGCACTCTGAAGGATGAGTGAGGATGTTGCAGTTCTGGATGTGGGAAGTACAGTACCTGCACTCTGAAAGATGAATGAGGATGTTACAGTTCTAGAGGTTGGAAATACAGTACCTCCACTCTGAAGGATGAGTGAGGATGTTACAGTCCTGGAGGTGGGAAGTACAGTACCTGCACTCTGAAGGATGAGTGAGGATGTTACAGTCTTGGAGGTAGGAAGTACAGTGCCTGCACTCTGAAGGATGAGTGAGGATGTTACAGTCCTGGAGGTGGGAAGTACAGTACCTGCACTCTGAAGGATGAGTGAGGATGTTACAGTCCTGGAGGTGGGAAGTACAGTACCTGCACTCTGAAGGATGAGTGAGGATGTTACAGTCCTGGAGGTGGGAAGTACAGTACCTGCACTCTGAAGGATGAGTGAGGATGTTACAGTCCTGGAGGTGGGAAGTACAGTACCTGCACTCTGAAGGATGAGTGAGGATGTTACAGTCCTGGAGGTGGGAAGTACAGTACCTGCACTCTGAAGGATGAGTGAGGATGTTACAGTCCTGGAGGTGGGAAGTACAGTACCTGCACTCTGAAGGATGAGTGAGGATGTTACAGTCCTGGAGGTGGGAAGTACAGTACCTGCACTCTGAAGGATGAGTGAGGATGTTACAGTCCTGGAGGTGGGAAGTACAGTGCCTGCACTCTGAAGGATGAGTGAGGATGTTACAGTCCTGGAGGTGGGAAGTACAGTACCTGCACTCTGAAGGATGAGTGAGGATGTTACAGTCCTGGAGGTGGGAAGTACAGTACCTGCACTCTGAAGGATGAGTGAGGATGTTACAGTCCTGGAGGTGGGAAGTACAGTACCTGCACTCTGAAGGATGAGTGAGGATGTTACAGTCCTGGAGGTGGGAAGTACAGTACCTGCACTCTGAAGGATGAGTGAGGATGTTACAGTCCTGGAGGTGGGCAGTACAGTGCCTGCACTCTGAAGGATGAGTGAGGATGTTACAGTCCTGGAGGTGGGAAGTACAGTACCTGCACTCTGAAGGATGAGTGAGGATGTTACAGTCCTGGAGGTGGGAAGTACAGTACCTGCACTCTGAAGGATGAGTGAGGATGTTACAGTCCTGGAGGTGGGAAGTACAGTACCTGCACTCTGAAGGATGAGTGAGGATGTTACAGTCCTGGAGGTGGGAAGTACAGTACCTGCACTCTGAAGGATGAGTGAGGATGTTACAGTCCTGGAGGTGGGAAGTACAGTACCTGCACTCTGAAGGATGAGTGAGGATGTTACAGTTCTGGAGGTGGGAAGTACAGTACCTGCACTCTGAAGGATGAGTGAGGATGTTACAGTTCTGGAGGTGGGAAGTACAGTACCTGCACTCTGAAGGATGAGTGAGGATGTTACAGTTCTGGAGGTGGGAAGTACAGTACCTGCACTCTGAAGGATGAGTGAGGATGTTACAGTTCTGGAGGTGGGAAGTACAGTACCTGCACTCTGAAGGATGAGTGAGGATGTTACAGTTCTGGAGGTGGGAAGTACAGTACCTGCACTCTGAAGGATGAGTGAGGATGTTACAGTCCTGGAGGTGGGAAGTACAGTACCTGCTCTCTGAAGGATGAGTGAGGATGTTACAGTTCTGGAGGTGGGAAGTACAGTACCTGCACTCTGAAGGATGAGTGAGGATGTTACAGTCCTGGAGGTGGGAAGTACAGTACCTGCTCTCTGAAGGATGAGTGAGGATGTTACAGTTCTGGAGGTGGGAAGTACAGTACCTGCACTCTGAAGGATGAGTGAGGATGTTACAGTCCTGGAGGTGGGAAGTACAGTACCTGCTCTCTGAAGGATGAGTGAGGATGTTACAGTTCTGGAGGTGGGAAGTACAGTACCTGCTCTCTGAAGGATGAGTGAGGATGTTACAGTTCTGGAGGTGGGAAGTACAGTACCTGCACTCTGAAGGATGAGTGAGGATGTTACAGTTCTGCAGGTGGGAAGTACAGTACCTGCACTCTGAAGGATGAGTGAGGATGTTACAGTCCTGGAGGTGGGAAGTACAGTACCTGCTCTCTGAAGGATGAGTGAGGATGTTACAGTTCTGGAGGTGGGAAGTACAGTACCTGCACTCTGAAGGATGAGTGAGGATGTTACAGTCCTGGAGGTGGGAAGTACAGTACCTGCTCTCTGAAGGATGAGTGAGGATGTTACAGTTCTGGAGGTGGGAAGTACAGTACCTGCACTCTGAAGGATGAGTGAGGATGTTACAGTTCTGGAGGTGGGAAGTACAGTACCTGCACTCTGAAGGATGTGTGAGGATGTTACAGTTCTGGAGGTGGGAAGTACAGTACCTGCACTTTGGGGATATTGCAATTTCAGACTCATCTGAACTATGATATCAGCATGTTCCTGGCTGGATAGCTACTGAGTGAATAATGGTGAATGCATGTCTTCTCTTTCATTTGGGGGCCACCCTACCTTGGTGGGAGATGCCCAGCGTGTTTAAAAAGTATACAAAATTAATAATATACGACAAAAACTTACCAACAGCCAGTAAACCAAACATCTTCTCCCTGCCATAGTCACCCTTGTACTGGTGGACCATAGTGAGGGCCACAGCTTCTAACAACGACACCAGGATGGCAGAGAGCATTTCTGCCATCGCTCGAACACCAAAATAGAGCCACAGTGTTAACTTAGGGTTGCCCCTCACTGTGGAACACATGGGTCTCTGCAGAAAACGTGTCCCATTCACCTGAGGAAAACAAAGGCAAATGTACCTTTCTTGTAAACTCTTGTTAATTAACTTAAAAAAAATAGGTGAAAGAAGAAAATATTCTAACAACCTCAATAAGAAAATTAAAAAAAATCTATGTAAAGTAAAAGGACACAAGTGCAACTAATGTGACATTTTATTGTGGCAACGTTTCACTCTCCAGGAGCTTTGTCAAGCCATTGATAAAGCTCCTGGAGAGCGAAACATTGCCACAATAAAATGTCACATTAGTTGCACTTGTGTCCTTTTACTTTACATATTGTCGGTAATTCTACCAACTTTATTACAAAAAAATCTAGATCTTTTATTCTCTATGAATCCTTATAAGATTAACACAGATAAATCCCTACAAATCAATATTTTTTTTTCAACAAACTGGCCGTATCCCACCTAGGCAGGGCAAGTTATATAGAAAAAGTTTCCCATTTTAAATTTAGTAATGTATACAAAATGTGTTACTAACCCCTTACTCCTGGCATTTTAGTCTCTTCTTAAAGTGGAAGAATTCTGCTCCACATGCTGTGGATTCCATCTCACATTGGTCTTCAGATGCATGATAGAACTGATAAATTGGCTAAGCTGTATGCTTTCAAAGAGGGAGTAGATTACAATCTTGGCTTGTCAGGTAGTAGTTTGAGAACAATAATACGAAAAGAACTTCAACTGAATTTTATGGACTTAAGGCTCAGGGAGATTGACACCAGTGAGTCCATCTATCATCATTCTATCATGCAGGAGGAGCCACATGTCTATGGTGCATCCAACAAGATAAGCAGACTCTTGGATGTCACTACTGCCCGGCTCCGGCTGGGTTACAAGTATCTTTGGCAGGTTAAATCACCACCACCAGATGTAGACCAAATGAAATGTAAACTTTGCCAGATGGATTATTGTCACACCTTGCGTCATTATGTACTGGAGTGCGTCACACCCTGCGTCATTATGTACTGGAGTGCGATAAAATTAATGAATTTCGAAACAACTCACTCAGAAGTGTTCAAGAAATGGCTAAGTATTTTATCCACAGTGGTATATTACAGACCATTCTGGAGAAATACCCTGACTTTGCTAGCTGTAAATAAAGCATTACCACATGTGTGTGTGTGTGTGTGTGTGTGTGTGTGTGTGTGTGTGTGTGTGTGTGTGTGTGTGTGTGTGTGTGTGTGTGTGTGTGTGTGTGTGTGTGTGTGTGTACTCACCTATTTGTACTCACCTATTTGTGGTTGCAGGGGTCGAGTCCTAGCTCCTGGCCCCGCCTCTTCACCGGTTGCTACTAGGCCCTCTCTCTCCCCGCTCCATGAGCTTTATCAAACCTCGTCTTAAAACTGTGTATGGTTCCTGCCTCCACTACGTGTGTGTGTGTGTGTGTGTGTGTGTGTGTGTGTGTGTGTGTGTGTGTGTGTATGTGTGTGTGTGTGTATGTGTGTGTGTGTGTATGTGTGTGTGTGTGTATGTGTGTGTGTGTGTATGTGTGTGTGTGTGTTTGTGTGTTTGTGTGTGTGTACTCACCTATTTGTGGTTGCAGGGGTCGAGTCACAGCTCCTGGCCCCGCCTCTTCGCTGATTGCTACTAGGTCCTCTCTCTCCCTGCCCCATGAGCTCTATCATACCTCGCCTTAAAACTATGTATGGTTCCTGCCTCCACCACATCACTTTCTAGGCTATTCCATGGCCTGACTACTCTATGACTGAAGAAATACTTCCTAACATCCCTTTGAATCATCTGAGTCTTCAACTTCCAATTGTGACCTCTTGTGTCTGTGTCCCATCTCTGGAACATCCCGTCTTTGTCCACCTCGTCTATTCCGCGCAGTATTTTATATGTCGTTATCATGTCTCCCCTGACCCTCCTGGCCTCCAGTGTCGTCAGGCCGATTTCCCTCAACCTTTCTTCATAGGACAATCCCCGTAGCTCTGGGACTAGTCTTGTTGCAAACCTTTGCACTTTCTCTAATTTCTTGACGTGCTTGACTAGGTGTGGATTCCAAACTGGTGCTGCATACTCCAGTATGGGCCTGACGTAGATGGTGTACAGAGTCTTAAACGAATCCTTACTGAGGTATCGGAACGCTATCCGTAGGTTTGCCAGGCGCCCGTATGCTGCAGCAGTTATCTGATTGATGTGCGCCTCAGGAGATATGCTCGGTGTTATACTCACCCCCAGATCTTTTTCCTTGAGTGAGGTTTGCAGTCTTTGGCCATCTAAACTATATTGTGTCTGCGGTCTTCTTTGCCCTTCCCCAATCTTCATGACTTTGCATTTGGGCAGGGTTAAATTCAAGGAGCCAGTTGCTGGACCAGGCTTGTAGCCTGTCCAGATCTCTTTGTAGTCCTGCCTGATCCTCGTCCGATTCGATTCTTCTCATTAACTTCACATCGTCTGCAAACAAGGACACTTCTGAGTCTATCCCTTCCGTTATGTCGTTCACGTATACCAAGAACAGCACAGGTCCTAGGACTGACCCCTGTGGAACCCCGCTTGTCACAGGCGCCCACTCTGACACCTCGTCGCGTACCATGACTCGTTGTTGCCTCCCTGTCAGGTATTCTCTGATCCATTGCAGTGCCTTTCCTGTTATGTGTGCCTGGTCCTCTAGCTTTTGCAGTAACCTCTTGTGAGGAACTGTGTCGAAAGCCTTCTTGCAGTCCAAAAATACGCAGTCGATCCACCCCTCTCTCTCTTGTCTTACTTCTGTCACCTTGTCATAAAACTCTAGTAGGTTTGTGACACAGGATTTTCCTTCCCTGAAACCGTGCTGGTTGTCAATTATACACTTGTTTCTTTCCAGGTGCCCCACCACTCTCCTCCTGATGATCTTCTCCATGACCTTGCATACTATACACGTTAGTGATACAGGTCTGTAGTTTAGTGCCTCATGTCTGTCTCGCTTTTTAAAAATTGGGACTACATTTGCCATTTTCCATACCTCAGGGAGTTGCCCAGTTTCAAATGATGTGTTGAAGATCTTTGTTAATGGCTCACACAATATCTCTGCTCCCTCTTTAAGGACCCATGGAGAGATGTTGTCTGGTCCCACCGCCTTTGAGGTGTCAAGTTCGCATAGCAGCTTCTTCACCTCCTCCTTGGTTATATGTACCTCATCCAGCACTTGCTGGTGTGCCCCCCTGTTCTGATTTCTTGGAGTCCTACTGGTTTCCACTGTAAATACCTCTTTAAATCTTGTGTTGAGCTCCTGACATACCTCTCGGTCGTTCTTGTGAATTCCCATCACCCTTCCTCAGTCTGATTACCTGGTCCTTGACTGTTGTTTTCCTCCTGATGTGGCTGTACAACAGCTTCGGGTCAGTCTTTACTTTTGATGCTATGTCATTTTCATATTGTCTCTGAGCCTCCCTTCTTATCTGTGCATATTCGTTTCTGGCTCTTCGGCTGATTTCTTTATTTTCCTGAGTTCTCTGTCTTCTGTACCTTTTCCATTCTCTAGTACACCTAGTTTTTGCCTCCCTACACCTTTGGGTGAACCAAGGACTCGTTCTGTTCTTCCCATTATTTCTGTTTCCCTTGGGAACAAACCTCTCCTCTGCCTCCTTGCATTTTGTTGCTACATAGTCCATCATTTCTTGTACTGGTTTTCCTGTCAGTTCCCTCTCCCACTGAATGTCTTGAAGGAAGTTCCTCATGCCTGAGTAGTTCCCCCTTTTGTAGTTTGGTTTTTCCCAGCCTATTCCTGCTACTCTCTCCACTTGGAGCTCAACTATGTAGTCGAAGCACAGAACCACATGATCACTAGCTCCCGGGGCCTTTCATACATGATACCCTCGATGTCCGAACTACTCATGGTGAATACAAGGTCCAACCTTGCTGGTTCATCCTCTCCTCTCTCTCTGGTAGTGTCTCTAACATGTTGATGCATGAGGTTCTCCAGTACCACATCCATCATCTTGGTCTCCATGTTTCGGGACCCCCATGGGGCTCCAGGTTTTCCCAGTCAATCTCCTTGTGATTGAAATCACCCATAACTAGTAACTTTGCTCCCCCCATGTGTGCTCTCCTGGCCACCTCGGCTAGTGTGTTGATCATTGCTCTGTTGCTCTCATCGTATTCTTCTCTTGGCCTCCTGCAGTTCTGTGGTGGGTTGTACATTACTGCAATTATCACCTTATGTCCCTCAGACTGGATTGTTCCTACTAAGTAGTCCCTTTTGCCCATGCCATCCATTCCTTCCATTTTCTCAAAACCCCACTGTGGTGTGTGTGTGTGTGTGTGTGTGTGTGTGTGTGTGTGTGTGTGTGTGTGTGTACTCACCTAGTTGAGATTGCAGGGGTCGAGTCCAAGCTCCTGTGTACTCACCTATTTGTACTCACCTATTTGTGGTTGCAGGGGTCGAGTCCTAGCTCCTGGCCCCGCCTCTTCACCGGTTGCTACTAGGCCCTCTCTCTCCCCGCTCCATGAGCTTTATCAAACCTCGTCTTAAAACTGTGTATGGTTCCTGCCTCCACTACGTCATTTTCTAGGCTATTCCACTGCCTTACAACTCTATGACTGAAGAAATACTTCCTACTATCTCTCTGACTCATTTGTGTCTTCAACTTCCAATTGTGGCCTCTTGTTTCTGTGTCCCCTCCCTGGAACATCTGTCCTTGTCCACCTTGTCTATTCCACGCAGTATTTTATATGTCGTTATCATGTCTCCCTGACCCCCCTGTCCTCCAGTGTCGTCAGGCCGATTTCCCTTAATCTTTCTTCATAGGACATTCCCCTTAGCTCTGGAACTAACCTTGTTGCAAACCTTTGTACTTTCTCTAGTTTCTTGACGTGCTTTATCAAGTGCGGGTTCCAAACAGGTGCTGCATACTCCAGTATGGGCCTGACATACACGGTGTACAGTGTCTTGAATGATTCCTTACTAAGGTATCGGAATGCTGTTCTCAGGTTTGCCAGGCGCCCATATGCTGCAGCAGTTATCTGATTGATGTGTGCTTCCGGAGACATGCTCGGTGTTATACTCACCCCAAGAT